GAATCGTTACTCAGGGACACAGAATTGTTACTCAGGGACACAGAATCGTTACTCAGGGACACAGAATTGTTACTCAGAGACACAGAATTGTTACTCAGGGACACAGAATCGTTACTCAGGGACACAGAATCGTTACTCAGGGACACAGAATCGTTACTGAGGGACACAGAATCGTTACTGAGGGACACAGAATCGTTACTCAGGGACACAGAATTGTTACTCAGGGACACAGAATCGTTACTCAGGGACACAGAATCGTTACTGAGGGACACAGAATCTTTACTCAGGGACACAGAATCGTTACTGAGGGACACAGAATTGTTACTCAGGGACACAGAATTGTTACTCAGGGACACAGAATTGTTACTGAGGGACACAGAAATCGTTACTGAGGGACACAGAATTGTTACTGAGGGACACAGAATTGTTACTCAGGGACACAGAATTGTTACTCAGGGACACAGAATCGTTACTGAGGGACACACAGAATTGTTACTCAGGGACACAGAATCGTTACTCAGTCGCACAGAATTGTTACTCAGGGACACAGAATTGTTACTCAGGGACACAGAATCGTTACTCAGGGACAGACACAGAATTGTTACTCAGGGACACAGAATTGTTACTCAGGGACACAGAATCGTTTACTCAGGGACACAGAATCGTTACTCAGGGACACAGAATCGTTACTGAGGGACACAGAATCGTTACTCAGGGACACAGAATCGTTACTCAAGGACACAGAATTGTTACTCAGGGGCACAGAATCGTTACTCAGGGGCACAGAATCGTTACTCAGGGACACAGAATCGTTACTCAGGGACACAGAATCGTTACTGAGGGACACAGAATCGTTACTCAGGGACACAGAATCGTTACTACTCAGGGACACAGAATCGTTACTCAGGGACACAGAATCGTTACTGAGGGACACAGAATCGTTACTCAGGGACACAGAAATCGTTACTCAGGGACACAGAATCGTTACTCAGGGACACAGAATCGTTACTGAGGGACACAGAATCGTTACTGAGGGACACAGAATCGTTACTCAGGGACACAGAATCTGTTACTCAGGGACACAGAATCGTTACTCAGGGACACAGAATTGTTACTGAGGGACACAGAATTGTTACTGAGGGACACAGAATCGTTACTCAGGGACACAGAATCGTTACTCAGGGACACAGAATCGTTACTCGGGGACACAGAATTGTTACTCAGGGACACAGAATCGTTACTCGGGGACACAGAATTGTTACTCAGGACACAGAATCGTTTACTTTTGCTTCACAACCACTATTGAATTAAAGAGTATGTCAGACAACACGCAGAGGAGTGGCAGAGGAGGCAATGTTTCAGGAGCCCTGTGCGAGCAGACGTGGCAGCAAGAGGAAGGGGTCGAGGGCAGCACTAGTCGCAGCCAGAGGCCAGTGCTCTCCCGGGTGTCATCCAGCGGTCGAGTGTCTCCACCGACAACCCTGCCGTCATCGATTGGTTGACTCGGTCGTCTTCCTCTTCCCAGGTCACCTCTGACAACCTACAGCCAACGGTCGGTGGGTACGTCAGACATCAACCGTTAGTTGGCAATGGCCCGGGAGCAAGCCCACTGAAATCACGTTGTCCTGCTACCTGCCCCTGTCCTTTGGTGTTCCCTCACCAAGCGAAGTATCGCATGCTGTGGGCCTCAGCCCCACTGTACAGTGAGGAAGAGCTAACAGAGGGTGGTTCAGGAACGGGGGGGAGAATCCGCCTCTTCAGCAGCCAGGCGAAGACAAGTACTGGCTGAGGAGAGTGGCTCGGGTAGCCGGTCTAGAGACAGGTCTGTCTCCTGAACCCCAACACGCAGCGAGCGTGGGCTGAGTAGTGACTGACGCGGAGACCCTAATTGTTGATGATGAGGCGGATCGCACTTGGCAGCCTCGTCGTCATCAGGCTATTGCTTCCGCATCATCAGGAGAAGAGGGTGCCAGCTTGCCAGCGAGCAAAACAGTCGGTGGGGTTGCCCAGGAGGGCAGCAGGGTCGCAAGCAGTGTCAGTGGAGGCAAATCGGCCACGGAGTAGAGCACCAGCTCCACTGCAGCCTACCACCAACGGCCAGTAGTGGTGCCAGGTGTGCACGGAGGAAGTAGCAGTCAGCCAGTGAGGAGTAGCGGAGGGGGCAAAGTTTCCTACTCGGCGGTGTGGCGAATTTTTCGTCAAGCCGCGCCCGAGGAAGTAAACGTAGCCGTATGTCGACTATGTGGCCAGAAAGTCAAGCGTGGCCAGGGGGCCATGTTGGGACTACTCAGCGTTGCAGTCAGCATATGCAGCGTCGCCATCGGTGGCCTGGGATAAACCGTGATAAAGATACGGCGGTCCTGCCTGCGACCAGCCCCCGCTCCGTCCATCACCCGCCTCCGTTACTTGCTCCGTCACCCGACTGTCAAGCATCGCCCTCTATCAGCCAGTCAAGGCTCCAACACCTCTGCTGAGGGGAGTCTTGTCGCTCGTTGGCATCTTCCGCTCGTTCAGATGCTGCCTTCTCCTCTTCACGGATTCCGCCACCGTCAGCAGTTTTCTTGGAATCTGTTTCCAAGAGACAACAGTTTTGCGGAGCACGCACCCGACGGTGCAGAAGCTGAACGTCCTCCTGTCCAAGTTCGCTGGTGCTGCAGTCCCTCCTCCCTTTTTCCAAGTGGTGGACTCTAGCACTCTTTCGAGAAATGATGGCTTGTGTGCCGAGCCGCGGGTGGAGAGTGCCAAGCCGGGCATTTTTCTTCGCCAAAAAGGCAGTGCCAGAGCCCTGCATTCACATGTATTGAAGAGATGGTGGGCCAGATCTTTGAGCATGTCGGTCTCTGCCAAAGTGCACGGCAGCGGCCGAGTGTGGAGCTGTAACTACGGGTCAGGGACCAGTACATGTCATTTATGGCCCACTGGGTGAACGTTGGTGGTGCCGGCACAGCCGCACCAAGCAACTTGGCAGGTCACGCCGCGCTTTTGCCTCCACCAACTTTTGCGACCGTCCTTGGTCCAGCAAAGATTGTCCGCCTCTACCACCTCTTCTTCCGCCGTGTCATCAGCCGCCTCCCCCCGTGCCAAGTCCCATTACGAAGCCGACCGGCATATCACATGTGCAGGGCGCGAACGGTGTCACGCTGTAGGCTGCTGCACCTGGTATGCCTTGGCGAAACGTAGTCACACAGGGGAGGAACTTCTGAGTGTAATGAACAGAGAAATCGACAGATGGCTGTCTCCGCGCAAACTGAAAATCGGAACCATGTTGACACGACAACGGAAAGAGAGAACATGGTGTCTGCTCTGCTTCAAAGCTAAGGTTGTGCCATGCGCATGGCACCATGGCTCACTGTGTTCAATCTGGTTGTCAAGCGAGTTTCGCTAAAATCCACCCATCCCACTGCAAAGACATCCTTCAAAATGTCACGTAAACTTTGCATGCATTTCCCAGCCATTCCTACACACCGCAAGAGCGCACACCCTCCTTGAGCTGCAGCGGCAGAAACGGGAATTCCACAGCATCGCCTGATCTGCGACGTTGCAACAAGGTGGAAATTCAACCCTACTCGTATGTTTAGACTGCCTTTATGACGAACAGCGAAATGGCGCCATCAACGATTTCCTGATGTTACAAGCGGATAAAGGTACTCTCCCCTGTGTAACTTAGATGTCAGCCATTGCGAGCTCATGCGTGACACTGCCGCTTGCTCAGGCCCTTAGAGGAGGCCACGCTATTTGTGAGTCGGCAGGACTACGGGATGTTTTAGCTAATGAACGACGTCCATTCCTCTGTTGCACGACCTGAACAAATGCTGTTAACAATGGCTGGTTATCAGGGTGGCGGTGTAGACGTGGCGCACAGATCTCAACGCCACATGACCCCTGTGGGGGCAGGACATGGAAGAAGAGGAGGAGGGTAGAGGAGGACCATTGGTGCTCAAGGAATTATTGAGTGAAATGGGTGGTTTTTCCACTCAGCGGACAGGATTAGTGGAGGAGCAGGAGCGTTCTGGTAGAGGAGGAGGAGGAGGAGACAGAGGACCCAGAACGCACCGTAGGGCAGTATATGCTGTGGAGATTGGAGGCAGGGAGTCGTCCCTCGCATTCCTTGGCACACAATGGCCCCATAGCATGCTCGATTGCTTGTTTGTTGCGTAGCGACGCAGCCGAATAATAACCATCAGAGCCAGAGAGGGATGACTTTTGGCTGTCCACCTTGTTGGACCCTACGCTAGCAACCGTTCAAAAATGTGGCCTTTTTCACACCTGTCTGAGAGGGAGGCCAGAAATTAACGTACTATATAAAACATCACCTATTGTAGTCAGTTGGGTCTCTGCCTTTCTGCGCCAAACGTCCATCCTCAGACACTGTGGGCCCCTGTGCGCTCGCACGTTCCGCTGCCATGGCAGCAGGGGAGGGGTTGGGGTGGTAGGAGCGCATGTGGCAGCGTCCACCAGCAGCGGCCTGCCTCAGTCTGCAGTCGATGATTGAGTAGCTTTCTGTTCACCAGCGCAGTGAGGAAACTCCTACTAACCAGCACGCAGCAGCAGCAGCAGCATCAGGTGGACCTGGAGGCAAGGACCTCAAACAATAGGCTCGAGCCTATCTTGGACAGCACCCTGCCAACCGAGGTAGACAATCCCCTTGACTAACTGGGCAACGACCCACTTGACCTTTGGCCCCAACTAGTGAATTTGCCCCTTGAAAGGCTGTCATTCCTGGCCAGTAGGTGGCATCGGAGTGCGGTGTTTAGTGCGGGGCAGGAGGTATTGTGAACTCCGCGGAGGACTAGACTGTCCACCCAAAGTGTGGAGAGGACTCACGTTGTGTGAAAATGAATCAGGCGTGGATTAGTCTGGATTTTCAAACCACCAGTTCCTGACACAACTGACTAAATCCGCCATGAATCATGCCCCAAACATGTTATTATTTTTAACATAGGCCTCTGTATGGCCTTCCAATTTAAGCTGCTTCACGCTTCGCCCACTTCTGGGCCATGTGGGCCCACTGTGTACCGCCTCCTGTCTCTGCTGCTGCCAGGTGACCCAGAGTGATGTCATGGGTCCTGTACGGTACGGCCTTCCCATTGCTGCTGACCTTTCATCGCCAGGTGGGACACTGCCATGTGTGCCCACTTTCAGGGTCTCCTTACCATGGGGTGTTGGTGGGTCCTCATTTTGTGATAGGGTGCTGTATGGCCTTCATTTGTCAATGCCGTGCTACCGCACCGCCACCCTGCGCCATGTGCTGGCAGATTGTCGTCTGCTGTCACGCTGCTGACGGCTTCCGCTTTTTTTAGGCAAGAGGGGCCTGTGTTTGGCTTCCGAATACTGCTGCATCCACACCGCCACCCGGCTGCGCCATGTAGGTCTCTGTCGTGCTGCTCAGCGCTGCTGACGGCTTTCCGCTTTTTAACCTAGGTCCTGTGTATGCTTTAAATCGAATGCTGGCTAACACTGACGCACCCACCCTGCGCCATGTGCCTCTCTGTCGTCGTGCTACACACTGCTGCCAGGTCCATACTGATTTCACTGGCCCCCCTGTACTGGCTCCTCATGAACGTGGTTCAGCGGGTTTGCATCACTTAACTGGGCAAATCGTTTTGACAACAACAACGCTGGGACGATTCAGTGTGGGTTGTGCGCATTAAGCCAGACAGACCAAAGGGAAGGTGTCAGGCAGCAACGGACTGCTAGGGAGCAGTGGTTCCGCTCACCTGGCATCTCGTACTGAACAAGTGTAACCGAAAGTCAGGTGCTGTACCACAAATTGGACCCAGACCTGCCCAGGGTCTCGTAAGTAGTATTGCACGGAGGAGTAAGAGGTCTCGTTATTGGAATTAACTTGTGAGGGAGCCTTTTAAAGCTAGGTACTGGGTATGGTCCTTCAATTGATGTGCTTCTGCTCCGTCCACTCTAGGTTTCCATGTGACTGGGTTGATAGTCTAGGATGTGGACTATCAAGAGTCCAATGGCAGAGGGTAGTGGCGGAGCCAGCTAGGTCAGCAATCGTGTGCCCTCTCGTACGACTCCTCCCCCCGTATGGCAGCTCCCTATTGCTGCTGCCAGGCCAACGTTAATGACATTGCCATGGGCCCCCGTACCCGACATCCTCATATCGGCTGCTGCCAGCCGTAATTCTGTCATGGGCCCCGTACCGCCTCCTCATGCTGCTGCCGGTCCATGTAGTGTGTCTCCCGATGGGTCCCGCCATGTACGGCCTGCCCTAGTGCTGCATCGTGTATGTTCCATCGCTACACTCTGCCATGTGCCACTTTCAGGTCTCCTCACACTGCTGGTGGATTCCATTTTGTCATAGGTGCTGTACTGGCCTCCCATTGCTGCTGCTGGGCCGTAATGCTGCCATGGGCCCCCGTACCGACTCTGCTCATGCTTTGCTTGCCGGTGGGTTCATGCCCGTAATCTGTCATGGGCCCTGTAGACCTGCGGCTACCTCATGCTGCTGCCGTAGTCTCAGAGTGTGTGTCATGAGGTCCCTGTACGGCCTCCCATTGCTGCTGTGGATCCATATCGCACGACACTCTGCCATGTGCCACTCTTTTCAGGTCTCTCAAACATCTGCTGTGCTTTGGTGGGTTACCATTTTGTTTCGATTAGGGTGCTGTATGGCCTCCCAGTTTGCTGCTGCCTTCCACCGTCCACACACTGTGGCTCCACACTGTGGTTGTTTTGGCCCCGTGACTGCCCAAATGAGTGAAGTGTGCGGTGATTGCTAAGATCGACGGCACTCATCTGCATGTCATACTGACTGACGCAGGTTATCTTATTTCTCTTCCCCAGCAGACTCCAAGGGCGCAGTTGTAAATTAAAAAGGTACAGTGTTCTGCACTAATATAAAGGCTCTCTGAAGCCTAGAAACATCCCTTTTTACACGTTAAATTCGCAGCGAATATATTCGCCTCGAATCGAATTTATTCGCGAATTCGGCGAATCAGCCGAATTCGATAATTTTTGAATAATTCGCTCATCTCTAATCAAAAGTGTTAAGCTGAAGAAATTTTGAAATATTTTTTCTTCACCAAGATAATATTACTTTATTCTGGCAAATTTAGCCATTAAAGAACTATCATTATGATATATTTTTACAGTCCTATGCCCTGTGGGACGATGTTACTTAGGTACTTCCTAACTGTAGCTATATGAGGTCCTTAGTTGCAACCCCATCTCGCCTTCTGCACCATGTCAAATCTGATAATCAGCAAGGGAAGGAGATTGGCTGCTTCATTGGACTCGCTCTTGTCTTGGTTCTGCGGGTTCTTTCCCAAGCGACAAGACATTGGCAAGGGGAATGCAGAGGCTGACACAACCAAGGGGCGGACTGGATCTGACAACTCCGCGCCCCCCCCCACATCAGCCCGCACCCCCCTCTATCCCCCCACCCCCCCATGCCTCTCCACTCATGGGGGGCCAGGCCCCCGGGCAATAGGGGATCATGGGGCCCCTGTGTCCCTTGCCCAAACTCAAAAAAGCCTATGAAAAATCGTGTACCAGGGGCATTTTCATGGGGCGCCCCTACTGACCCTGGGCGCCCTCGGGCAGTGCATAGCCCTTGCATCTGCATGCCTCGAGACAGTGCTCAGAGCCAAGTCAAGCTGCCATTATGAAGCAACTGTATCCTTCCTAGCTTTTGTCAGGTTTGCTGTGGCAGGAGGGGAGGGTGTGCTTTTCAGATTCCTATGAACTTGGGACTACATGTACTTTGTTCTGTAGAAAAGAGAATAGTTAAAAATATTTATAATTATATTTCTTCTTTAAAGACATGCTTTTTCATGAAGCACTAGTGACCTTTTAAAGGATTAAAATGGAACTTTACCCATAAAAGCTTGATAAAAAAATAATGTTCTTTAGCAAGGAACACACCCAGAGCCGTGAGTAGCAGTAAATCAGGGTGAGAGTGTAGTACTGGATTATTGGTACTTATTTTCAATGTTTTACATAGCTATACCATCAAAAGGGGCCAACATGAAGTGATCTATCAGAACTTACGTTTCTGACTAAAGTTCCACTTTAAGTACACTTCAGAATGAAAATAGCATTTTTTTCCTTGCTCTTGTGGGGACAATTGGCGATTGGTTCAAGGTCTAAAACCATAAAATGAAGATGACTGCTGTAAAGCACATACCTTTATGCAGTTAAGATAGAAAGCATGTTTACATAAGCAAAAACAGCAGAAATAAACTGCAGAAAGAAGCCATTTCCAGAGACACTCTTGATATAAACATCCCTTTTAACTTGTGAAAGCTAAGCAAACATTTAGAAACGTTTCTACAGGGATGTTCTTGTTGTTAGTTGTGGGCACCAGCTTAAACTTTTATAACTGTTGCACCGCACTTTATCAGTCACATTTTGAGATTACTTTACGTATGTTTGCTGGTACTCAGGTGCTTCAGGGATATTATGTGAGCGATTATAAAGCCTAATTTTGAGTGGTCATACTAGTGCACAGGGGTAAGGCATGAATAACAGTTGGACCAGCTGAAGTGGGCAATGTAGGGATGTGAAACTAATGCAGGCCATAGACGGTTTCGAAAATCGGCCGATTATTCATCCAAAAGAATAACTGGCCGATTTTTGCACTGTTAGTGGGGCAATGGCATCGGCCAATTTTTGTGGTTCCTCCTCATTTCGTTTATTGGGCATGCTGGAAAATTCTTGAAAAACGGCCAATTTTTGAAATCATTGGTGGCAACATCTGATTACAGAACGAGACGAACGATGTTTCATTTTCTGGACGAAAAATCGACCGATGGGGCGAACACCGTCTATGACCTGCATAAGTCAGAAACTACAGAAGTAACTGATAAACTACCAGGGCTCAAAAACAATTGTGTGTGTATATGGTAGAATTGGATTAAACAGGAAGGAAGTTGGGAGCATATCCAGAAGCTGTTTCCAGGTGTTAACAGTCTAAAAACCAGTTAGGGGATCAAATATAGTAAGAAACTTCAACAAGGTGGTGTTCCCTGAGGTATAGGCAAGCAATGTCTGCAACTAAGGTCTAGTATGTGAGGACATAAATGAAATACTGATGAATGCATATAGACACAAGAAGGGAATCTGGAGTATGGTAACCCAACAATGGGAGCAAGTAGTAGTGAGTCCCAAAGAATCAGGAAGCATGGTCACCATTCACCCATCCTGGATAAATGTTCTGCGTTTAGGTCCTTGACACCTTGTATGATGAAATGTTCAGAACAAACAATGTATGGAATTAAAGTTAGAGAAAAATAGAATTGGCTGGGTTTTTGATTGCGGCTGTCAAAGGACAGAGACATGTGGATATTTTAAAAGAGCTGAGATATTTTTAAAAAATGTATTTTCATTGAAAAAATCATACCATTCAAAGCATTCTTGATTGTTTGACCCGAAAAGTGCTCCCAGTTTTACAGATATTAGGGAAGAATGACGTACAATATACCCACCACTGGTACTCTTTCTTCTATGTTAATAACTGTATGTACATTTCTTCACAGTCCTTCATCTGATCACCTTGAAAATGTCAGTTTAATCCAACTACATGATGCAAGTGCACAACCACCAATCAAATGAATCGTAGGCAAACACACATATCCTGCTATTTTATTGTTTCAGACAAAATCAATGATTTTATAATTGTTCCTTAATTTCTGCAATGCGTTCTTTATACCTAGCATCTGCACGTTAGAAGATAAGAGGTTAATAACCAGTCCCAGGCCCGCTGTGAGGTAGCCGTTACTGGGTGCTGTGGGGGCAATGTGGTGAGAGCTGATAAACTCAGAGCAGTGTCTGGATTGCATTAAGGGATCCCTAAGAAAACCACTCTGGGGTGGAAGATATCAAAGCTTCTCATACCCCGCAAGTGAAAGACGAGTGCATAAAAGAAAAGAACATTGGCACAGGTAAAAATGATTGCTAAGATAACTCATCTGTTTTATATGTAGTATAAGCTATAAGAATTACATAGCGGTAGATAGATAGATAGATAGATAGATAGATAGATAGATAGACAGATAGAGATAAATAGATAAGGTATTTTATCAAAAATAAAAATTCCAAAACCATATATATATATTGTTAAGCAGATAAAAGAGAAAAGTGCATTACATACAGTACAGTACATTGTTATTTCTCTTCTTTTCTACGGAAATCAATATTATAGCACATAATACAGTAACTGAATATTAATGCTGCACTTCTACAGCTTTGAATTACATAAGTGATAATTGTAAAATAGTTTTTTTATTTTCTAATATTTTTTATAAGTAAAACTGGAGATGACTGTGATACAAGACAAACCAATATTTTTATTATTCAGAGTAAATCTACAATTAATTATATTAGAATCCAAATTCACTACTATTATTCATTTTAGGTGGCTGTACCTGATATCATCTTTCATTCATAACTAGGTAATGCAAGGAAGGGACACATATATTTACACTTAGTGTACATACTTTAGTATGAATAAAGATTGAAAGTCAGACTAGTACAATATTATTCTTGTAGGCCATGGTCGGCAGGCTCGGCACTTGATACAATTTTGGTACAACTGCGTCTTTGGATGAAGTGAGGAAGATCATATTATCCATTACTTGTGATGGCAAATATGTAGAGAAATAGAATGTTTTGACTTATGTTCTGTTCATTTCTGCAGGTAAAGCAAAAGAAAAAAAAATCAGGTTACTACCTATTATTACAGTTACTTGTACAGGTACTATCTGTATAAATATGAAGACCTTACAATTAATTTGTAGTGAAGAGACTGTCGTCCAGGTGTCAAATAATTCATTTCCAATCAGGTCCTTCCAGATTTGAGCAGCAGCTTTATATACATTGATTAGGGATATTTTTAAAATGGCACAGGCTAAAAACTTAGTAATTTATATAGTTTATGTAGAAAAATAAAAACCAATAGTTTTGTCTATTATTTTATTTTACAGAGAACACAGTAGGAAAACGTTAGGAACAATAATAATAACAATAATAATAATAGCTTTAGAAACAATAATAACAATAATTATTATTATCATTATTATTATTATCACTATTACTACTAATGATAATATTAAAAATACATAAATAATCTTTCAAGTTCAATTTCTAAATAGAGTAGGACTACACCTAAAAGTGATGATAGTGGGATAGGGTCTCGTGATCCCCCCAGCCTCCTCATATATCCTAAAATTCAAGTCAATCTACAATAAGCCAGTGACTGATAAGTACAAACCAGTCTTTTCTATTCAGATAAAAGCCTACTGCATTTGATAACTGTAGTTAAAAAAAAAACCCCAAAAAACAAAAACTATCAACTTTATGTAAAAGAGAAGCACCCTTTCTGGCTCATTTTGTGGGTTTTGGGGGTCACAGGATTAAATAGATCCCCCTTCCCCCCAAGACTGTAGAATTGTGGCATCATTACATTAACATAATTTAGGACAAATAAAAGCAGCAGCAGCATCAAATAAAGCAAGCTTTTGAATAAGGCAAAGACAATCCTACAGGGAAGTGTCCTCCAATTCAAATCAAATGTCTTTGGTATTCTCAGAATAGTTCCAAAAATTAATTTACAATTAGGCATTGCATCTTATACACTTATTCTATAATAACAAGTATAATGTACTGTACAAAATATAATGCAAATAGAATAATATAAATATATGGTACAAATGGTATGATTTATGTGGCAGTGGGTCAATTTTACCCAATATACATAAAATAATCATAGCGCGTTAGATAGTAACAGTACAGAAATAGCATATATTTTTTTTATTAATCCATGCTGTAATTGCTGAGTAATTAGCAGTGGAAATTGGGTTTTAACATAAATCAACAATGACAGCAGTAAGTCTCATGGAGTT